GCTATTCTGGGCCCGCTGCTCTCGGTACCGGCTGAGCCCGGCTCAGTGGGGTTACAGCGATTCAGGCTCAGCTGCCACTGCCGCTGTGTGGAGCAGGGCTTTTCCACCTTGGGATACCCATGGAGGGGCTTTGCAAAAGGCAGCCAAGCAAAAACAATCTTGTTATCACTAGGCCTGAATGCCCTCCACAGCTGCCATCTGCAACTCCCCTGATAAAGCCTGTGCAGTTCACCCGATGAAAATGGTGAAACCCTGAGGTGCCTCAGGCCAGCAGACGGTCCCAGGCAGAGGGAGTCAGGTTTGGCACCAATGTCCCCATGTCAGCCTTCATCCAGCCCTGCTGTACACCTCAGGCACTATGTGAATTTTCTCACAGTGAGCGAGCCAGGTGCTGGCCAAGCAGCATAGTCCTGCAGCCAAGAAAAGCTTCCAGGATGTGGCCAGGTGTAGGATTCCTTAGTGAAATGYGTTTAGAGCTTTCCCTCTGAAACATAGGTTTAATTGAAAGTTATCTCACTATGCAGTTAAAAAAAAAATAGTCCTACTCCATCTTGTCTAGGGAAGAATTTCTAGGGTCATAGAATTTAGAGCTCAAAGGTTTACAATCCCAACAAGATAAGGCAGGGTAACAGCCTCCCACACTTTATGGTGTGAGCTTATGAAGAGGTCAAAATGGCTTAGCATGAGGGTCAGTTTTACTCAAAGTCCCTGTTTGTGGAGAGGAAATAACATCCTAAATCTTCATAGCTGGCTTTGACATAGCTATTAGATTATAGGGGTTTGGATTGTTTGGTTTTCTCTCCTAGCCTCARTGGGTTTTGTGTTTCCAGTGACAACAAAATGAATCCCAAAATGAAAGGGTACTTCTGCCACAGGCCTCTGGCCAGCTGGTGCCATTGCACRTCCTGTGCCTTTGTAGGGCCAAGTGAGGAATGATCATCCTCTCTGCAACTCATCTGGTATCACTGGTCTTAAATTGCTGAGGCATCTATGCGAGCCCACCTGCCTCCATGAACCTGGACTGGTTCTGCCATCCCCTTGGCCTCCTCCTGCTCCTACCTCTCTGTGGCATAATGCTGCTTTGTCCATGCTCCAGCAGCACTGGCCTCTGGAGTAGAAATCTGTAGTCACGTTGCTCTGGGATGTGTCAAGGAGCTGTGCACAGGCAGCACCACTGTCCTGGTGTCTGAGTGATGCAGAGTGGTGAAAATGGCCAGCTCAGAACAGCCTTTCAAGCTCCTTAATAAGAAATTACAGATAGTTTGCAACGACCTCCTAGGGAAACTTGGTGCCTTAGATGATAACTACACTCATCTACCAYAAAGAACTGCAGCTTGAGCCATCATATGTTGCAAATATATGCAAAAATTGGGAAAGCAAGCTATTAACAGGACATAAAATCAAGCCAGGAATTGTTCAGAGGAGCAATAAATAAATATTTCAGAAAATGAGTCACAAGGGCCTGGGTGATTTCACTGAGTGGAGATACCAGTCCAAGAACAACTTTTTCCCACTATTTCAGTGTACTGGAAGAATTTCAGTGCCCTGGCTACAACCCCCTCACAGATTTCAGATGCAAAGCCCTYTTGCTAGGCTACAGGTTTATTTAGTGTGCACACAATGTTTGTGACTGACCTGCTCTGTAGATCACTTTGTGCCACCACAATGCTGATGGCCAAGCAAGCTGGAATGAGCACTCCYATTGTCTTGGCCTTGAGAGCAGAAAGAAGTGTTCAAGGGATGCGAAGTCTGCCGTGTCCCAGCTTAGGGGCTGTCCAGAAGCTTTTCTGTGGATTTCACAGCATCTTAATGATTTTACGCATAACCTTCAGAAATGTTTTTTGAGCCTCTGAAAACTAAAGGCAGGCGTGAGCCTGAGGGGCCACACGAATCACCAGCCGCAGGCCAGGAGCCAGCTGTTACCTCGCTCATTATTCCAGTAATTGCCATGCCTTCCATTGTCCTAGGAAATTAGGAGAAAATGCTGTTTACAGTGTTTTGTTTGGCTCCCTCAGTGCAGCTCGCTGGGTGCTGTGAGGTTTCCATCAAATATGGTTTAGCAGCACACAGCTTGCTCTTAAATAAAACCAGGCAGCTGCTGTGACTCTCCAGAGTCATGTCCATGGGCACCCAGGGAAAGCATGGACAGGGAGCGAGCTGAGCCCCTCTGCAGGGATGGGCCCCAAAAGGCAGCGTGAGTGGGAGCCCTGCTGCTCTTTCAAGGCCACCAGAAGCTCATTTCAACTAAGCTCCAAGGGCTGGGCTGGGTGGCACAGAGCATCCCGTGGCACCGGTGCGGAGTCTGCAAAGCTCAGCCCAGTGAGAGAAGTGGCTTTCGTGCTGCCCCTCCTTCTTTATTGTAACTTCAGTGAGCCATTCACCTTTTGACAAACTCAATATAGGAAAACGTCAGGGTGTTCTCCCGTCTCCCTGGTTTTCTCTCATTCAGGGAATGAAAATGAGCAGGGATGAGAAAGGGACAARCCCAGTGAGTGACAAAGGTCCCCCATTACTGTAGGTGTGAGACTTCCTCTCCACAGCAAGCCCCGAGTCCTGCACGCAATCCCGACGCGTCTGGCGGCACTTGGGCTCCTAGGAGACAGAGATGGAAATGTGGATATGTGCCAGACACACACAGCTGAATACATTTGGCTGTCACTGGGCTGGCATGAAACTCACAACCTGATGCAAAGCTTGGGTGCCAAACCTGTGCTGTAAATGTCCACAGAGGAGACACACATAAACATACATGAAAATGAATGCAGGTCTTTTCCCCAGACAAGCAGCCATTGAGATGGACCRTTTTTTTGCTGTCTAGGAGCTTTTCCCAAGTCAGCACTTGCCWGGATAGTTCTTGAGAGTGGACAGGACCTCCAAGCCACCTACTTGTTCCTGGAGGTTATGAAAGTGGTCTTTGAGCAGTGTAGAGCATTTGTGTGGCCACAGCCAGCGAAGCTTTGCTCAGTGGTTAAATAGCAGATGTCAGCCTCCAAAACTGCCAGATCGGCAACTGTCAGGACTACTAACTGTCATAAACCATAAAATCCACAGATGGCCTTTTCCAGAGGAGCTAAATATTAACTTTGTKTTCATCTCAGAGAGTGGGAACTGAATTTTCTAGCCTTCATCCCTCTTCAGCGTCTCCAGACAGATACTGCTGTCAGCCAAAATGAGAGCGAGCTGCTGCTTTGCAGAGGGACGTGGGAGAGGAACATGCCTTAACAACCTGATCTGGTTTTCCAGTAGCAGGAGAGCTTATTTGGGACCCCTTAAGGAAATGGGGTTGGTCAGGTTTCCACACTAAACCCTCTCCTGATTTTTAGTCTGGCAAGCTACTGGTTTTCAAGACAAAATTTGGTCATTGCTAGGACATTACTTTTCACAAGAGGTATCAACAGTTTGAAGCAGGCCTCATAAGCACACGAGCCTTCTGCCAGCTGTGAACACCTGTTCCCACTCTGTGAATGAAACCTTTCCTTGCTGTCTTGCCCCAATTCAGAGGTGTGTGGGATTGAGGTCTGTAAGGCTCCAGGTCTGACTGAGAGTGAATTGATTCTGTTTTCAGCTCATCTAGAGCTCCTCACCATCAGTTCTCTCTTAGACAAAGACTAGGACTTGCACTAACTCATTTTTCTGGTTTTGTCCCTGTAAGGCACTTCGGACTCGTTAATAGTGATGCAGCTGCATGATAACAGCAATGAAGATGTATTACCTCAAAAGTAGGCAATAAGCCTTTTAGCTCTTTAGAGCAAATCAGAACTATTCTGAACAGCCCACAGACAAAAGAAATGGCTGTTTATCTTCATTTACAGCTACTGTGGAGAGGCACAGCATGCAAATTCACTGGCCCAGGGCAACAGCTAAGGTAGTACACAGCTTGCTGCTGTAAGAGGGGAAGGGAAGAGACTGTCTCTTCCCACCATCTTTGCCAGCCTTTGCCTCTGTAGCCACATCAATATTTTTCCTTTAAAAGAGCTGATCACTATTAATGACTACATTCCCTGCCACTGTGACTGCCAGATCTGCCACTCTGCTCTATAACAATATGGTAGAAAGGACCTTATTAAATTTTCACCAAACTGTTAACCAAATATTTAGTACCTAATACTCTGTCCTTCCTAAAGTAAAGAGTATGAGGAAATCATCTTCCAGCACATGAAGTATCTTAAAGACATTACGACATGATGTATCTTAAAGGACATTTTAAATTATTTCCTTTTCTTAAATCTTCCCTACATGAAATAAGATCTGCTGTTTTCTTCCAATGGGAAGGGCCCAGCATCCTTATCAGGGTTTACCCAGGTGTTGGTGGGTATGGGGGATTCRCCTGGAGAGCTCATTCACATCTTGTCCAACAAGTAAGGTGCTCTCTTAATTATCAACAGGGAACGTGAGCCGAAGGTAAGCAGATTTGTGCATACCACAGCAGCAGCTCAGGGGTCAGCTGAGCCTGCCACCACTGCCTCTCTCAGGGAGACAAATGTCCTGAGTAATGGACACAAGCTCTTTTTAATCACTCCCATGTTGTGTTATTTACCTGCATGGAGGCCAAGGGAAATGTGGCACAGGTGCTAAAGATGACAAAAAATTATACCTATGAATGCATCTTTTTTATTTGTTTGGTCTCAGATTTTTGGCTTGCTCACAGATGCAGAARAGCAATCCCTGTGTACATGCATAAACAGTTTAGGTAAAAGCCTGACCATTTCAGGTCTGTGACTCTGTTTTCTTTCCATTTCTGGACAGCATCAGGGGACAAGTTAATGGTGCTTTGCTTGTAATATTTCTGTCATTGGTATCAGATCCTTATTGTTTTCTGGTGAATTTGYTCCTCAGTAATATTTGCTTGATAGAACCCCTTAGTTCATTTTATTTTCAGGCTTGKTCTTGTGCACCCCCACTATTATAACAGCACATCCTCTTGTGGGTCAAAAGCATTCTCTGGTATGAAATGCCATGAAATGCTCTCATTCAAAGTGAAAGAGTCAGGAGGAGGCAGATATATTGGTAAGATAAAAGTAAACATTTAATGCCACTATAGTTTGATTTTCTTTTTCCAGACATCATATTTTTGACAATGTTTCACACCTCAGATACCACAAAAGGGATATTTTTTAGCCAGCAAACAATAAACTTTACAATTTTAATGGCAAAAGGTTCAATGCATTTGTTGACAAACTTGAAAATGGCTGTGACTCTCCACATTTTTAAACTTGTCCTCATGCTGTTCTTTCTTTTTTTCCCCCATAAAATTTAGTTGATAAAATATAKATATATTTATACTACTGATACATCCTTTTCTGGAATTACCCTCTGATGGGACCAGCATAAATTTTATATCCATCAGTTTCTCTCCTCCTTAGCCCTATTTTATATCACTGTAGTATACCACTGTATGAGAAAGAACATAGCCACGGACAGAGTGAAATGGATTTAGCAAACATACACTTCAATGCATAGCACTTAGATAAGCATTTCCAACCATGATGTGTAAATAAATTATAAAATACACGCAACTCTATAAAACAAGAACATCCTGAGTTTACAAATAAATTATATCCTTCATACATAGAATATGATGTGGATGTGGATGTTAGTAACCAGCAGTTTCAGCTATGGGAGGGAAAGAAGTAAAATGTAGAAAAGTTAGTATCTATGCATACATACAACATATATGTATGTGTGCTACGTGAAAACACACACATACATATACAATAGGGTGAATACATCCATATCTATAGCATATATAGAATATGTAATATAGCTGAAACTGCCTCAAGCACCAATTTATTACCATTATTATAAAGTTTGCTCAATACTTAAGTAGGACCACTCAAAGTAAGATGGTTTGGGTTGTGTTTTATTTCCTTTCCAGGACGGTTTGAAGGTAGTTTGAAATGAATGCTACTGAATGCTACTATTTCATTTTCAGCATCTCCATTCTTTGCAGAATCATCATGCTCTTTGTGAGCTTCAAAATGYTGCTTAAGTAAGCACGAGATTGCTGTTCATGAAATTGGTGGCAAAAGGGTGCTACATTTCCAAAGGAAATTTTTTTTTCAAAGGTTGCTTGAGAAGGAGAAAGAAGAAAAGATAAAGACAATAATAAAATGGTTTATTATTTCCAAGAGCAGGTATGGAAGCTCAGATAACCCTGGGATGAGTGCACAATAAACACAARAGAGGGAGACTGATTATTAACTTTGCATTGACAAATCATTCACAGTTTTGTTTGCTGTGTTATTTGGAAACMTCTTTCAAATCTTAGGGTAGCTGGCAACAGCCAGCCCTGTGTCTTCAAAAACTGCTGTGTGTTGCCAGTGCAAAAGCCTGTGGAGCTACAAAACAAAGACCAYGAGGACATCAGGATTAAGCAAGGTAGGCCACCATCTGTGGGTTTGAGGAAAAATGCCTCTCTGTATGGTCATCATCCACTCCTGTCAGTGTTTAATGGTACCAATGCAGAGAGCTGGGGCATCCCTGATGCTGTGCAACCATCCCTCCCATCCTATGAACTGGCATCAGAAATCACTCAGCCTTTGGCTTAGGAGAACTGAATTTGCTTMTGCAAGGCAGAAGCTTCAATTTACAATTTAAAATCTGTTAGGACTAGACAGAAAGCTTCACAGACCACCAAGAGTCCAGGCTCTCAGCTGATGTGGCTATGCCGTATGCCTCAAGCATATGCAGAAATTGTTGTGTTCAAGAGCTGAGATTGTAAAACACCTTGCCTCAAATTCACTACACTCTGAAATATAGAGTAGTTAATCAGGAATACTTTTATAGGCTTTAACATCAGGTGTGTGGGAACTACAGCGATTTGGCTATGTAACCTGAAGATCCTGGGTAAGAAAAGACTTTTCAAAGAAGCCCTTGAAAGAGTTTCAAGCATAAGTTTTCCCTGTAGTGTGGCATGAGTAGACTTCATCCAGGTGAGTGCAAGGAGAATGGTTTTGTAGGCACTCCTTGGAAGAGGAAAGGGGAGTGGTGGTGTTGCCATTTGTGAACAGCTATGCCATCTCCCCACAATGTGTCTCAGGCTTTGTGCAYGTGCATTTATCTCTGTGTGTACACCTTTTGTTTTTACGATTTTTAGCTCATAAAAAAAGATGCAACAAAACCACAGAAATTTGTAAAAGCTGATTTTTGTCAAAAAACCCAACATTCTTCAGAACTGTCATCACATTTGAATTCCATGGCACAGGTAATAATCCTTATTTTAAGACAAGTCTCATTATCAAATAATTGAGATAAATGGAAAAAGTGAAAAAATAAAACCCAGACTTCAAGACAGACTGAGTCTATCCTGTGAGCAAACATGGGATTTGGTGTGTATTATTCCCAGCATCACTCCCAGCTTTCAGCTTCTGTAATTGCCACATTTAGCGATGAAAGCAAAAAATGCCAGAGTGTATCTTTGATCCATTTTTTGTACATTTTCTGCAGCTCTCACTTAGCTTGCTTCATGTCAGAGGATCATGACATTGCTTGTTACCAGCYACTGTTTTACGGACCTGCAAGTTTCAGAAGCTAGGTTTTGTGGCAGTGGGTATTCCAAGACTGGATCGAAGACAKATCAGAACAGCCCTGTGTGTGGCTCTTAACAAAATGAGGGGGTGTCAAATGGGTAAGAGGAACATGTTTTTCTACCATATAACTAACACTAAATACCAAAACAAAAAAAAAAGGCAGGTGGACGAATTTTCCTCACCACTGGGTTTTCTCTGCTGTAACTCTTCCAATTCTTAATGCAGCTGTGCCTCAGTTTTATCAGAGCAGATGAGAAGGGACCAGTAAAGACCTAAGAAAGRAAAGTGTTTGTTTGCTTCCTTGTCTTTTGGTAAAGCAATACTTTGGATTACTTGGATCTGAACAAATTGACAAGGAATCATTTTGAGGTAAATGCAAGGCATGCATTGCAAAAGAAAGATGTGTGACAAATATACCACGAGTTAGGGCTCTCCCACTCCCTTCAGAGCACAAACTGACCCAGCACCAGGAGCCAGAGCAGCTTCTGCCCGCTGCAAGGGCTCACACAGACCTGAATCCACAGCACAGCCACAGTCACCAGCCTGAGGTTACACTCGAATTTGTGGCTATAAAGCAACTCCTGTCCCTTGTATGAATAAGGTTCATGTGTGCCAAGTGGAGCAGCACTCAGACAGAGCCCCCGGTGGGGATGTGGAGCAGTGCTGGTGTTCCACAGTCCGACAATGAAGAGCCATGATCTCCTGTCACACGTGCGAACAAAGAATTAACCTTCAAACCTAATTACATTAACACTGMTGTTTCCTGCTAAAGCTGTCCCAGGGAAGAAAGATTGATTTCTGAATGTGCAAATGATTAGGCATTATGCTAGGAATTACTTGAAGAATGGGACTTCCTGGATGACTTGCAGGAGAGTATGGGTCTTCTGTAAAATGCTGGCTACTGCAAACCAAGATCAATTTCATAATAAAGTCCTGATGCTTTGATTTATTTGTTTTGCAGATATTTGAACTATAATGATATTAATTCTGAAGTGGAAAGCTATTTTCAAGAAGAAAAAAAAAACATTCTATAGTTGTCAAATCTTCACTAATTTTTCATTCCTTTTTTTTGCATTAAGCCACCACAATTCTTAAAAACATAGTGGCAAATTCTGGAATGCAATGACGGAAAGTCAAGAAATGGAAGATGAGTATGGATTTTAGGGCATGAATACTAGTAGATAATGAGAGTGTTAATGGCTACTCTAATTAGGTCCTCAGAAAAAAAGGTATCTGTAAGTACCATGATTCTGCTCAAGGAGTACATAATYTTTTGTATGCAAAATTCATCCTTTATGTATATATAATCAGTTTGGTTTCAGGAATCCATTTTGGTCCMTCATGATAAACAGGGTGAACATATCCTCTTACTCTTGGAGATAATTGCTAGGTACACATGCTTTTTGCTATGCCTCCTAACCTGCAGAAATACCAAATTGAGAGTCAATGAATAATTGAGTTAATGATAGTGAAGAATATTACATGAAACAGGCATTTTACAATGGCTCTGAAATGTGTCCACTTGATTTACAGAAACATCACCCCTCCCGTGYAAGTCCCAGACTGTGTGCAGCCATTTCCTTGGCTCTGTGCAGCTGTACTCAGTCCATGSGGCTCTGCAGAGTATGGATGGCCTCCAAAGAACCAACACATAGCAAGTGCTACTGAAATTGTTAAAGAGAGAAGGAAGTCAGATAAATTGCATTGTTTGGYGGGATTTTCAGAGGATTTTTTGTTKKTTTTTTTTTTTTTTTTAATCTTGAGAGAGAAGGGGATATATCTTTAATATTTACTTGAAATATAACTTAGGAAATTGCTGCGGAACAGACTAGAAAGTGATTTTCACATAGGACCTTTTTTCTCCCTTCAAATAACTCTATAGATTTTAAGAAGAATCTTCTACAAAATCCAATGACCAGGGTAATAGAATGAATAACATTTGTTATTACAGGTTGTAGAGCACTAAAAGAAAAGAAAATTATACAAATGTGATTTCTACCCTTCAAAAAAACTTTTTTTTTCACCTAATCAGTAGAAAATCTACCACCATTATTTTCCACTGGGACTTTCTGCTTGAGATTGTAAGACAGCATTGATACGATGGTGCAGGTAAAAGAAGAGTTACACTTAAGTACAGCAGTTAATTGATGCATTTTGAGTATATTAAATGAGGGTCTTATTTCCTCCTAAGCAACAGGAGGGTAGCACAAGTGTATGTGAGAGGAGAGTTTTTGTGAATGTGCTCATTTCATTATAGAGGACTAAGAAACCTAATTCRACAAAAGAATTCTCTTCATTCTCATATGTAATTAAAATGCAGATTTTGCCTTTTTGTTTATGAAATACAAAGGATGTTCCTTCCCACATACTGTTTAGTGCATAAAGAGGCAAACTCATAGAATATGTGGATGCCCATGGAGGTGCAGACCCTTGTCCTTTTGATGTCAACATGAATTTTGCCACRGCTTCAGGTACTGAAGATTAGTAAAGCCAACATGCTTGAAGTGCTGTATCTGCTCATTTGCTTTATTTCCAGATGTGCTGAGCTAAGCAGAGCCTGCACKTCTCAGGCACATCTGGGAGTGTGGATACACTGGGCCAGGGATCAGAAGCTGACAAATGATGTTTTGCAGTGGTATATGTCATAAAGAGGCAAAGCTAAATTTTATCAGCCATAGTCTCAAGAAAGAAAGAAAGAATAAAGCACTCATTTTTTGACTGATAAACATGGGAACCCTTGGCCTAAAGGGTAATTTTCCAGCAAGTTATTAGCACCAGAAAAAAGGGTTAAGATAAAAGTACCTCCTCATTTATAACTCCAGCCCRTATGARGCAAAATTTACATGAAMAAGAAAACAAGTTATRGGGGTTGGTTCAAATTGAAAAGATATTTACTTCACAGAAATGTCACTTCYCTCTCATACATTGCAAAACCTACAGGCTTGGAAAATGACTGTATTCTCCAGCATATAAGAGAGTACAGAAGAGTATTTAAACAAACTTTACTCTCTGCTAGAAATGTTTGTGTCATTGGGGAAAGCTGAGTTTCTCTTTGAGTGGCCTTACTCTGGTAACAAGAAAAGACAGTTAACATTTATTCATATGTTGTACTGATTAGGAAATATTTCTACAAACACAAGTTACTTAGAAACAGCAAGWCTGAAATAGGAGAAAACACCAAGAGAAAAACAAGCTGTAAATACATTTCAAAAGTGTATTTGTTTTTTTTTTTCTTTTTCTTTTCTTGACTAGCACCATCTGTACACAATAAAGTATGAACATAAATGTTTGGATAACAAAGATTTGCAAGGCACTTAAACAGTTTTTCTGGATAGGTTTTTTTTTTTTTTTTTTTAATGAATCTCTCAATGGAAGTCCCACAACCACCTTTCCTCCTTCCTCAGCTAATGCAGGGAAAGAAGTGTCTTCTGCCAGCAGTTCTTATTTACAGATGTGTCCTTAAAAGGTTTCGCAAAGTGCTCTTTTAGGCTAAGAGTATCAACAACCTTCTACCTCCATTTTCCATGCTTTTAGTAGTTTTTTTAATACTACTCCTCTGGATAGTATAGCAAATCTCTCATACACACAGCTGAGACTTGACTCCAACCTTCATCCTCATTCTTTTGTCTTTGGGATGCTGTTTGGAAGGGAAAAGGAGGATGGCAGAGATGCACACTGAAATTCTTTTGAGGTTCATTTATACTTTATCGGCGTCTAGAGGTGATGTCRAAACAGGTGATCATCATGAGATGGGCCTTGCAGAAGTTGACACGGTTTTCCAAACGCTCAGTCACACATTCCAGGGCCTCCAGGTATTCAAGAGAATCCAGCTCAAATACCTGCTCCAGATCAACTGTGAGAAAGAAAATACACAGATAGGGAAAGCAGGCAAAACCCAGTGAAAGCTGGTGGGAGAGTCTGAGCTAATTCTATTCTTCAAACTCATCGGTACTGGATACAACATTATCTTTGGCTTGCCATTGTCATTAAAAGTTGCCTTTTCTTTTTAATATCTGTTAAAATGGCACAGCAGCTTGCCTGTAGTGAAAAATACTTTTAAGTTGCACTGGATGCTCTGCCATCCTCACCAGAGCTGCAGATGCCCTTGCTGTGCTCCAGCAAATGTTGAATGCTAAGCATGTACTGACTTCCTCACACATTCTGCTGATCAGAAAGAGCTTTAAATAGCTGCTCTCCTGGGAGGGCATTTCTTTTGTTGAATTCAGAACTTGAAATTAAAAATAAACCTCTAGGCTCCTTGTACTTCACACCTCTCCCTCTTCCATGTGAAGCTCACTAGACCACTCAAGCAAGGCAATGGAAGGCACAYACATCAATCATTCCAACACAGGTGCCCAGCAGCTTCCACGGAAGCCAAGTGTGAGAGACATTGTCTGAGCCAGCACTTCCCATCTTATCTGGTCCCTGAGGTCTGTGCAATCCTTCTGCATTTACCACACTGGAATCAGGAGCAAAGGCATCACACAGTGAGCGGAGAGCAATGCATAGCAAAGCCTCTGCTCTCTTTAAAACTAYCCTTTCTAACTCTCTTCCTTTATAGTGCTCCCAAAACCTATCCTGTGGTTGTTTTGGAGGATGTATCTCTCCGATGTCAGCTGAAGGCAGCTGTCAAAGGAAGAGTTAGGATGTTGTAAGGGAACACACCAGTTGACCTCTTTTTACCACCTGCAATTATCCTAAATAAACTTTTGCACACTGTGGTTTTTCTTCTAGAACTCTTTGATATGAACTTGTCTGCTTGGTAATACCAACAACTGTTGTATGACTACTGCAGTACTCTTTATGGTTTTTTCCTTAGAGCTGCTGAGGTCCTTCTTCATTTGAATGTGAATGCCCTTTAAGCTTTCTGAACTTTAYACATCTATAGTTATGAAAAATGGGACAAAATCATTTTTCATGTAAGCCCACTGCTGCCAAGGGACAAGTTTGCTCCATAGTGTTATTTTGTGGTAGAAGAGCAGATTTATAATATTGCTTATATGTTTGTGTGATCTGAGGCCAAAAAAAAATCTCATTTTCAGGAGCTGTGGACTGAAACGCGTGAACGTTAATCTACCAATGGCAATATCCACCACTAGAATGCTCTACCATTTCAACATTCTGCTCTCAGGCAAAAAGGATTGTTCAGTCCTACTGTCAACATTTAATAAGAATTATAGGAACTAGTTCTAGAAAGATAGTCAATCTAAAGATTGCCCTTGGTTCATTCTGAGTAGCTTACATCTCACATGTATCAGACATTTCTACGTCCCAAAGGAAACCTGTGATATCAGACAATAAAATTATGTCCTTACATTCACTGAGCCACTTATTAGGATCCAGCATCAGGTACTGCTTGGTCACCTCCAGTTCTCTCATTAACCACTCATACTTGGCCTTGACCTCAGCAATTCTCTGCTGGCGATGCTCCAGGATTTTCAGTTTGGCATTGAAACATATCACCTCCTGCCAGCCAGGGAAAAAAAGCAGGGAAGGAATAGGTGAAAAGGAGAAGAAATACCCAGATCCATTCAGTGGAATGATCTTCCAATCAGTAATACTAAAAATGAGCCATTTATTCTAGAAGTATATGAATCACTGCATGAAATCATCAATCATCTGCTTTAGTTTTACTGCTTTTGTTTGGTTTTCATGTTTTCCATTAGTGAGCTTTGGAGACTGTGCAATGGTAGTTAATAATAAACCATAATAATTAATAACAGGCAGCATCTTGAAATTAGATTAATTGTAGAAAAACATTTCTGTTTTTTTCACTACATTTTGGCTAAGAAAATCTAAACTATTGGGAGTAAGAAATCCACTGTTTGCTGTATTAAAAGCCTAAGTACACCCCTGTGCTTGGTGCATAAGTAATGCATTAGTCATATTTTAAAATAAAAGAACTGGTAGCAGTATCAAATTGGAAACATCCTTAAACAAAGGGAGCATGTTATGAAAAGCTCTAGCAAATCACAGTCATTAATAAAGAAGATATATTTTCTGTAAAGATCTGGGGCACAGTAACAGCATGAGGTGCAGTGCTGGAGACAGCGAGCCTGGCCTCGCATGGCTTCTGAGGGGTGCCAGCCACCAAGACTGTACAGTGAATGAAACCATGCTGAAGGCTGTGCTATGTGGAAGCAATTCCAGCAACAGAACTCTCCTCATCCAAGCCTGGGTGAGTGTCCCAACACTATTCCACATTCTACTCTGCAAACAAATCTGCTGTGTGTGTGGAGCGCAGCGGAAACCCTGCTCCAACAAGTTTCTCCACACATCACAAGCAGTCTCAACAAATGACAGGGGCTAGGAGGAAAAAGTGCCTTAAAATAATAAGAAAGGTTTATAAGCTTTCTTATAAGTTCCACTAAAATACTCAGCTTCAGACACTCTTCCCAATCTCATGTTTTAAGAGCTGACTTTTGCAATTTAGGCCCTCCAGGAGATGGCACGGATTGCACTCACCTTGCTGTCGCCACCTCGCCGTCGCTGGAGCCGCTCCACATCATCAATCTCATAGACTTTGATCTCAAAGGGCTCCCCCAGCCCCCTCTGCCCACTCCGCAGCGGCCCATCCACCCAGCGCACCCCGGGGCTGTTGGCAGGCTTCCTTGCTGGGGAAGCGGTGTCCAGGGACAAAGCTGGAATCACCCTCCGTCTCTGTGAGCCTGCGAATGCAGAAGGTGCCACTGCATGTTAGCACAGCTATTGCTTCTCCTTTCTACTGCAGAGAACTCTAAAATGATATATGTTGGGCCTTCTCAGGCAGAGAAGGAAATTGAAGGAAAATCCAGGGAGGCCATGGGAGCTGTAGCAGCAATGTGCAGGAAGTACATCCAAGCTTGGTGGCTGCTACCAGAGTTGCATTAACCCTGTTCCCTGTTCAATAGAMTATTCCTCTAAAACAGGAGGAATATTTTGTTGGGAGAAAGAACAAACACACACACAAAAAGAAAAACCACTGGTTACATTTCCTTGCTTGSTTTTGTACAATCAGAGCAATGGTTTGGTTTGAAAAAACCGAAACAAACCAAGAATTTTGTATCTGACACAGGGTCTTCCCCAGGAGACAGCAGGAATAAAAAGGATAGGAGAAGCCAAAAACAAAAGCTGGAGCCAGCAAGTTTGAATGAAACCATTAACTGACTCTCTTGGCTGCAAATACAAAAGGGATGCCAGCCAGCAGGGAAGAGATTCCGAATGATCATTCAGATTTTATTTTAAAAGCAAGATAAAATCATGTATAGAAATCTCCTGCATTACATTTGAATGTAAATAGTTTCAACATGTCTGTCAACTTTGTGCTTCAGTGAAAGCTAAAAAAAAACCAAAAAAATCTATTGATTGCCTAATTTTTGGATTTGCAAGTAACAACATACTGCCTAGTTTCATTCATGGAAGTCTGTTTCTGTGCTGACTTTGAGAACTATCACATTTTATCCCATGATTTCTGAGTACAACAGTCTGTGCTAGATACCAGTAGGCCTGTGTTAGAGACCAATAATTAACCTGTAAATTCTAGCTTTAAATTTATCTGGAAAGCTTTAAAATTATCTGGAAAGCCTCATCTACAGGGCTTTTACTTGGATGCATCTAAGATAACCCAACACAGGAAAAAGAGAGCACAGCCAGAGCTGATGGAGAGGGAGCTCTACAAGGCCCCTTTATACCAAACAATCTGAGATCTGGRCTGCCCATCCTGTGACACTTATCATACTTGTGTTTCTTGCTCAAACTGCAGCCCAGCAAAAAAACTCATACCAGAACAAATGAAGCCTTACAAATACCAGCAAGCAGGAGTTGTTTTAGTTCCGTGGTACCAGTCACTGGAAGACAATGTCAGCATTCCCTTACCTTGAATGCATTTCAGTTAATCTCTAGCTTAAACTGCCTGATCAAGAGAAGTGACAGATCTTGATAAAAGRAAAAGCAAGATCAGACCCATTACCATAGCCAAAAACTGACAAGAGATGCTGTTTGGGAAGACCCCAGCAAACTGCAGTGCTGAGACTGACTCTTGTCAGCAGTGCTAGAGAAAAGTGATCAAATGCTGAGAGCAGCTGCATACTTGAAGGGAGGTGAGGCGGCATGGTGGRCTATTCAATTTTGTTACACGCAGGGATAGATCCTGAAATAGGCTCAGCCCCTCCTGGGAAGCAAGAYCTCTGTTTGCTCAGATGGGAAGGACCCTGAGTATCATCCTAGTGTCACTCAAGATCAAAAGCATTCAGRCATTAAATATGTTTCTAAATACTTTTGAGGCTTTTGGGGATGATGTCTCACATGAGCAGTCTCTCAAATTTTGAGTATAAACACAACCTCTTTGCTGCTTGACAGATTTTAGAGCGAGCGATATCTACAAGCATCAGATCTGACCTTCTATTTAATGCACTCAGTGCAGTTAATTGTTTTCATTTTCTGACCCACATTCATGGTCACATCTCCTTTCCTGACATGCCTCCAGACTAGCTCTGGCATTTCAAGGAAGCAGCTGAACAGACTGGAAATTCCTTCTGCCTAGTCTCCGTGCATGGCTAGATTATGAGTAAGGTAGTGCCTTTTTCTGTGATGTTTGATTGCTTCCACTTWTCCTGACTGTGGCTGTTAACAGCACCTTCTTGTGTAATGAGGCACTTTTAAACTACCCCATTGGAAAAATTCTGTCTCCAGCCAGAGTCAAAGTCCAGGTCTGAGATTCTGGGAATGCAGGTAGATGGCTCCAATGTACCTTGCTGCAAGAACTGCATCAGACTCCTATTGTAGCAAGCAAAGCAAAACAGATTGCTGGGGTATGAAGCAGAGGGATGATGGTAATTGTTTTTGCAGTTTGTTCCTATTCATATCCATTTGGCTCAAAGGGAAGCAGAAGCCTGTGGTCTAGAAGGAGGGTTCCAACCTGAGGCKGTGTTTAATGGCTCTTAGCCCTTGGTAGGGAGCTGAGGCTGCAGCAGTGGCAGGAGACATTCACTCATTGTGGTTTTCCAGCCAGAGCTCGTGCCTGGGTTGCCTGTAGGTTATTACAACAGGACAGGCTGCACCTCTGGGTGCACTGGGGCAATGCAGAGGGGCAGAGCTGCCCCACAGCTGCCTCATCACCCTCTGCCAAGGGGCTCCTTTGGGACACGGGGATGACCTGCACAGGGCTTCCCCTGGGTACAACTGTGAGACGAACAGGAGAAAGAGAAAGGCCGATGATGTCTTTTCATCTGAGCCTTGAATACTAACTCAGCATGATTTATCTGAGTGCTTTGAGGAGAAATCAAAAGGAAAGATCTTCTTCCTCCTTCTGGTCAGGCAAAACTGGATCTAGTTTGTTCTAAACATGCACTGATTAACAGGCTGTTTATTTGCCCAGGTACAGAAAATAAGGGTGTCTTTTGACATGACACTCCTGCCACTGACCTCTCCATTTAGTCTCTGCTTTTTTTCCCAGTTTGCCTTAATTGGGATCAGTAAGGAGATACAGCCTAAGCAGAGCTTTGGGGTGAGTGTCACAAAGTGACAGYTTGCTCATCCACACAGACACAACACCTGAATTGTTAAAATAATTGCAGTTTTCCATTAATATAGAAAATGCCCAKCAGAAGTCCTGAATTTATTGGATGCACTTGATGGAACTGGGGTCTCATCGTTTTGACTGTAAACAAAATAACATGCTTTGTGGTAATCACAGCACACAACACCTGTATTCCCCATGCATGGCTTATGAAGAAAGTGAGCAGCCAGGGAGCTCAACAGGAGCAGCTCTCTCCCACCTCTGCCCCAACTCTGCAAACTGGCTGACCCTCCCACCATGTAAATAGGATTCAGTCCTCCATTCACAAAAAAAAAAAAATAATTACACCAAAAATTAATGTGAAAGAAATCCAGTAAGAGGAACTCAGGGTAAAATACCCTCAGTTAATTTATGACCGTGCACTACGTAAAGCAACATGCCATTTGCTAAATGCCCTGAAGGATGTTTTTCACTTAGTTTGTATTTATCCACTCTCAGAATAACCTCTCTTGAACCCAGCTAGAGCATGAATAATCAGGTTCAAGCTGAACTAACCATGAAAATACACAGGATACAAGATTTGCCTTTGAAACACATCTATTGCTCTACCTTAAGCTATAGGTTAAGGTTTGGCCAGGTTAAGTTTAAGATAAAGAGAGTAGCACAACAGTGAAATAATGCAGTGTGAAAGCAGATCTGACTGAAGAGTGGTACTGAAGCTACAATATATCTCAGCAAAGGTAAGCCCAGAGGAGCCTTAAAGTATGAGAAACATAGACCAAGGTATGTGAGTGTGACTTGAAGGATAAGAAGACACTGACGTCAGCAAAATTGCCAAACTGCATAAGGATGTGTGCTCATAAAAGTATGTGTTGAACAGGGCAAAAGCTCTAAAAGTCTGGTTTTGTTTAAGTACTGCATATTCTGGAGTGTTCCCCTTAGGCTGCTTTCCAAGCACACATTCCAGATTGAGCATCTTTTCTGTGAAAAAGGTAGAGGCAAAAACCGCAAATGCAAAATCTTAATGAAAAACAGTGTAATGCAGATCTCTACAAAGCAGGGTACATCCAAATGGGATGCAAAACAACTGCTGTCCTAGAAATTTCAAGGTGTTTCAAACAGAAAATGAAACTGTAACTTGATATATCATCCTTTCAGAAGTTTATAGTGTGTGCTCAAAGGTGGGATGTGGAGCCAAATCTATTCCCCACAGCTCGTAATGTTATGGGATGTAAAGTTGCCGTTCTGTACAGAACCTGTTCTTCAAGCATTTGGTTTCTCTCACCACACAGCAAACTACAAAAGCAACTACAAAAAMCAGCCCTGGCAAACTAGAGCAGCACTCCTAAGCTCACACTATTCCTTCTGTGGCTTCATTTCCAAGAAGTATTGTGCCTCCAATAGCAATAGCATCAATGTCAATTGTAGCATCCTGCTTTCCTTACCAGCAAAGATTATCTAGCCTGTTTCCCCTGCTGCTCCTCACTGTCTGACAACAGGGCTCCTGCTCTGTTTAAGTTGAAATTCTGATGCTGACTTTGCCTCTCATTCTTATTTCCTAGTGGGATCTGCCCTTATGGTCAATTGTCCATGACTGAACCAATTCCTCCCCATTCTGTGACCTCCTTTCTCCTGGTTTATTTTATAGTGCACTTTGCTGTGTGCAGAGCTCTTTGCTCCTCAGATTTTCATACAGTTTGCACAGTTCCCCTCCTGATTACTGAAGGCATTGCCAATGTTTTCAAGTGGAAGGTCCATCTGATGATGTGGGGACTTCACCAAATGTGTTCAGAGTGCCCATCTTGAGGTCAATACTCCAAGTACCAAAGCACCAAGGCAGAAAATCCAAAGAGCATTCACTCATCCTCACAACTCAGATTACACAGATTGCATAGAAAGGACYGTGTTGCACCCAAACACCTGGAAGAGGAAACACTGAGAGGATCCCTCATTCAGAAGAAAATTTTCTGTCCATCTCTCTGTAAAATAATACAGGCCATATTCTCTACTGATTGTTAGGCAGTCCCACTGTTGTGAATTGACAGGAAGTACAAGGACACTTGAGGCAAGAAATCACTGTATATTGGAATAAAGCAATCCTTGTTTACAATATTCCATCTCCACCTAYACTAGATATGTTGTGTCTGTACTGATGTAAGGAATATGCTGATG